CACAAAAATGGAGGATATACTGAGAATTGTTGTTTTGACTTATTTGTTATTTGCTATTTTTTATTCTTCATTTTTATTCCTGGGTGAGCATCCCATGCACCCTCATAGAAGTAATTATGCAAAGCGAATTTTCCACAAATATGGAGGATATACTGAGAATTGTTGTTTTGACTTATTTGTTATTTGCCTTCATGCTGCAGTTTATGCATCCTGGGTGAGCATCCCAAGCACCCTCATGTAGAAGTTAATGAGTATGCCAAAGTGAATTTTCGAATTCACAAAAATGGAGGATATACTGAGAATTGTTGTTTTGACTTATTTGTTATTTGCTATTTTTATTCTTCATGCTGCAGTTTATGCATCCTGGGTGAGCATCCCATGCACCCTCATGTAGAAGTTAATGAGTATGCCAAAGCGAATTTTCGAATTCACAAAATGGAGGATATACTGAGAATTGTTGTTTTGACTTATTTGTTATTTGCTATTTTTATTCTTCATGCTGCAGTTTATGCATCCTGGTGAGCATCCCAAAATGCACCCTCATGTAGAAGTTAATGAGTTTTATGCCAAAGCGAATTTTCGAATTCACAAAAATGGAGGATATACTGAGAATTGTTGTTTTGACTTATTTGTTATTTGCTATTTTTATTCTTCATGCTGCAGTTTATGCATCCTGGGTGAGCATCCCAAGCACCCTCATGTAGAAGTTAATGAGTATGCCAAAGCGAATTTTCGAATTCACAAAAATGGAGGATATACTGAGAATTGTTGTTTTGACTTATTTGTTATTTGCTATTTTTATTCTTCATGCTGCAGTTTATGGGTGAGCATCCCATGCACCCTGGTGAGCATCCCAAAGCACCCTCATGGAGGATATACTGAGAATTGTTGTTTTGACTTATTTGTTAATGCTGCAGTATGCCAAAGCACCCTCATGAATTTTATGCCAAATTTTCACAAAAATGGAGGATATACTGAGAATTGTTGTTTTGACTTATTTGTTATTTGCTATTTTTATTCTTCATGCTGCAGTTTATGCATCCTGGTGAGCATCCCATGCACCCTCATGTAGAAGTTAATGAGTATCCCAAAGCAATTTTCGAATTCACAAAATGGAGGATATACTGAGAATTGTTGTTTTGAATTTGTTATTTGCTATTTTTTATTCTTCATGCTGCAGTTTAATCCTGGGTGAGCATCCCAAAGACCCTCATGTAGAAGTTAATTATGCCAAAGTGAATTTTCGAATTCACAAAAATGGAGGATATACTGAGAATTGTTGTTTTGACTTATTTGTTATTTGCTATTTTTATTCTTCATGCTGCAGTTTATGCATCCTGGGTGAGCATCCCATGCAAAGCCCTGGAGGATATACATGTTGTTTTGACTTATTTATTTGTTATTTTTATTCTTTCATGAGTATGCCAAAGTGAATTTTCTAATTCACAAAAAATGGAGGATATACTGAGAATTGTTGTTTTGACTTATTTGTTATTTGCTATTTTTATTCTTCATGCTGCAGTTTATGCATCCTGGGTGAGCATCCCATGCACCCTCATGTAGAAGTTAATGAGTATGCCAAAGCGAATTTTCGAATTCACAAAAATGGAGGATATACTGAGAATTGTTGTTTTGACTTATTTGTTATTTGCTATTTTTATTCTTCATGCTGCAGTTTATGCATCCTGGGTGAGCATCCCATGCACCCTCATGTAGAAGTTAATGAGTATGCCAAAGCAATTTTCAAATTCACAAAAATGGAGGATATACTGAGAATTGTTGTTTTGACTTATTTATTTGTTATTTGCTATTTTTATTCTTCATGCTGCATTTGTTTTTGCTATTTTTATTCTTCATGCATCCTGGGTGAGCATCCCATGCACCCTCATGTAGAAGTTAATGAGTATGCCAAAGCGAATTTTCGAATTCACAAAAATGGAGGATATACTGAGAATTGTTGTTTTAACTTATTTGTTATTTGCTATTTTTATTCTTCATGCTGCAGTTTATGCATCCTGGGTGAGCATCCCATGCACCCTCATGTAGAAGTTAATGAGTAAAGCGAATTTTTCGAATTCAAAAATGGAGGATATACTGAGAATTTTGTTTTGACTTATTTGTTATTTGCATTTTTTATTCTTCAAGTTTATGCATCCTGGAGGATCCCATACCCTCATGAGAATTAATGAGTTGTTTTTCGAATTCACAAAATGGAGGATATTGAGAATTGTTGTTTTGACTTATTTTTATTTGCTATTTTTATTCTTCATGCTGCAGTTTATGCATCCTGGGTGAGCATCCCATGCACCCTCATGTAGAAGTTAATGAGTATGCCAAAGCGAATTTTCGAATTCACTAAAATGGAGGATATACTGAGAATTGTTGTTTTGACTTATTTGTTATTTGCTATTTTTATTCTTCGTGCTGCAGTTTATGCATCCTGGGTGAGCATCCCAAGCACCCTCATGTAGAAGTTAATGAGTATGCCAAAGTGAATTTTCGAATTCACAAAAATGGAGGATATACTGAGAATTGTTGTTTTGACTTATTTGTTATTTGCTATTTTTATTCTTCTTCATGCAGTTTATGCATCCTGGGTGAGCATCCCAAGTACCCTCATACAGAAGATAATAATGTGTATGCCAAATCGAGTTTTTTTTAAAGTAATTCACCAAAATGGAAGATATACCGAGTATTAAATTGTCGTTGTGACTTATTTGTTCTGTATTTGCAACTTTTATTTACATGATCTTATCTTTATGACCAACCAAAAAAAAAAATCTTTTTTTCAATGTTTGCTTAAATTAATCAATTAAAAACTTAAAACTTTCACTGTTTTGTTGATAAAGTACATTTTCTAATTAAATGTAAATGTTTTGCAAATATATTTTGATTAAAGTAACAGTATTTTATATATTTTTTAACCCTTCTGTATCTGGTCTTAAGATTTTGGTCAGGGGTGTAAGTATAAATTAGTCAAAAAATAAATAAAAACAGTCTTTTAAGAGATAAGAGTGAGGGAGAGAAAAAAGCGAGGAAGGTCGGAACGAAAGAATTAACGCATGAACGAACGAATGAACGAAGGCAAAAAGGAAAGAGAGAAAGAAGAAAAATGAACTCGTGTCGAGATGAAAACTCGTCTGGTTTGTGGCGGTGGTAAAGAAAATGTGGCTGAGGCAGAAAATAAAACAAAAAATGAATATGTAAGGACAAGTAACCGATACCCAATCAAAAGCAAGCACCTGGGTGGCAGACAACAAAGGAGTTCATATTTCAGCTGAGCTTTAAAAAAAACACCGAGGGAAGAGGCAGAGACTAGTTTGTATTGAGTTACGCTGTTGATAATAAAAAAAGATGAACTCAATCGGTGCGCGACATTACAGAGACCTTGTATTGTCAACTGGTTATGGTGACTCAAGGGGCAACAACAACGTATTTGTTCCTATTGTCATTAGCAAGAAAGACCCGCAAGGAAGTAAATGTCTGTCACTTGGTCTAATATTTCTGAAGAGGAGTCACGTGCTGCAACGTAACGGGCAATAACTTACGTGTGTATTATAGTTCCTGGGTATGACGATAAACTACATCAAGGCTTCTGATCGAGAGATTGGAGGTTTTGAGAAGTGTGCGATGTGGTAGCACCTGTTAGGGTCCCAGCTTTGGGCAAATAGTGAACCCCAAACAAAATAAAACATGATGAAAGTATAAAAGTACATTTTTATAATAAAAATACCAGAAATAAATTTTCATATAATAAAATGACCAACAATACATTTTATCTGTAGTTGAAGGCATACAATTGCGTTCAAAATATATTTAGTTGAAGCCATAAAATTGTGTTCAAAATATTTAGATTTCGGTATTAAATAACCCATAGAGATGTTGCTATGCCGCTAAACAAAATCAAACAACCAACAATACATATTTATAGAAAAATAAAAATATACTTATTTATATTAAAATAAGTATAAAATGATGTAAACAACATCTGTAGTTGAAGACAAAGTGGAAGCCGTAAAACTGTGTTCAAAATATTTACATTTCGGCATTAGAGTTTGATATATCCCTAAACAAAATCAACTAACTTGTGGATTAGGGTCGATGTGGAATTTCGGGTGGTATAACGGGTATCGACCCAGGGTGTGGAATCGGCGAGTCCATTTCAGCATTCAAGCTAGTTTGCTACGTTCACTTTCGCAGTAATATCTTTGAAAAAAGCATAACTCTCTCTCTTTTTCTCTCTCTCTCTTCTCTTCTCTGTAATCTATGCAGAAGGAAAAGAGAAGGAAAACACAGAATTTGAATTCGTGCAGACAACAAAGGGGCACAATTCCAATACGTTCCCCAACAACAGGCCCGACAATTCACAGATGACAAAGAAAAAGAATCTGTGGAGAATCCCGATCACCTCCGTCCTAAAAGGTCCATAAGATTAAAACAAAATCCGCTAAGGAGTGTATATGGTCAAGTTAAGATCATTGATTGATTCGTTTTTACGGTTTATCAACCCGTTGCAGGTTATTTAAAGCCAAAAAAAATATTTTTTAGAATGTAAGAATTTTGTGGTGGTGCGGGGGTGGATAATAAAGGTTTAGTGATACAAGTCTTACTAATTAATCTATATTTGAAGGGAGATGTATTCAGACATTTCCCAGTTTGCGCCGGAGTGAATATAACAAACTCAATGGGGATTAGAACTCGGATCGCCGATTAACAATTCCGCTCTATTATCCATTAAACCATCTGCACATTCAAGTTTCTAGACTGTCACCCATCCAGGTACTGACCAAGGTCGACGTTGCTTAACTTCGGTGCTCTTACGAGAACCGATGTTTCAACATGATATCGCTATAAGACCTTTATACTACTCGGACATCCAAGCTTACAACAGCTGACATTCCCAAGCGGTCACCCATCTAGGCTGAACGTTGCTTAACTTCGATGATCGTATGAGAACAGGCGTTTCAATATAAGGCCTTTATACTACTCGCACATCCAAGCTTACAATATCTGGCATTCCCAAGCGGTCACCCATCCAAGTACTGACCACGCTCGACGTTGTTTAACTTCGATGCTCTTACAAGAACCGGTGTTTCAAAATGATATGTCTGTAAGGCCTTTATACTACTCGCATATCCAAGCTTACAACACCTGAGATTTCCAAACGGTCACCCATCCAAGTATTGACCATGCTCGACGTTGCTTAACTTAGGTGATCCTACGAAGACCGGTGTTTCAACATATGGCTGTAAATCCTTTGTACTACTCGCATATCCAAGTTTACAATACCTGGCGTTCCCAAGCGGTCACCCATCCATTTACTGACCAGGCTTGACGTTGCTTAACTTCGGTGATCATATGAGAACTGTTGTTTTAACGTGATTTGGTGTAAGCCTCAGGTTGCGTTTCTTTATGAAACGAATGAATAAATAAATGTAATCACTTGTTTTTCGACATTATAAGTAAAGAGCGACAAATTTTCCATTTGAAGGTAGTAAAGTTAAGAATTTGCCGTACTAGATTTATTCAACCTTTAATCTTACTTATTATAAAGCGCAGATTGTTTGTTTGTTTGTGTGTGTGTGTGTGTGTCTGTATGTTTATATATTGGATCGGATTTCCTACATTTTTCAACCGATTTCAACAAAACATCACAAGACTAAGTAAAATTACCTTGCGGTGGTTCTGACAGCGCCAAAAATTGGAAAAACACTATTGTTTTTCCACAAAATCAATTTGAAAACACGATTAAGAGGCATAGAGAGAATGAAAGGGGGACAACTCATATCGAGTTATACTTATTAATATCGAGTTATCGAGTTATACTTATTATAAAACCCAGGTTGTTTGTGTTTGTGTGTGTGTGTGTATGTGTGTTTGTGTGTGTGTGTGTGTTCATTTATATATGGGATCGGATTTCCTACACTTTTCAACCGATTTCAACAAAACTTCACTTTTTTTTGGCAGGTAGTGTTTCTTATTGTCTTGCACACTTTTTTCTTTGTTTTTACATTCAGAATGGTTTAAAAATTCCATTTACAAGACAATTGTTTATAATAAAATTCTATTCAATCGATAGACTTATAACGATTGAAAACAATATTTTTGTTTGAGATTGGGTTTGACCAATTCGTAAAAAAACAAAATAAAATAAAATAAAACTAATTAAGACATGCGTGTCCGTCAACCTTAAACAATAATCTTTGTCAATTTTATTTTTCAGTCTTTATAATGGTCGATACTTGATCTATCTCTTACTGTTACATCCCCGGGCAACGCCGGGCTCTACTGCTAGTAATTAATAAAGCAAAGCGGGAAATTATTAAAGAAAGTACTTGTACAATATTTAATCTAGAAATGTATTTGGAATTAGGAATAAAAAAAAGATTGTCAATGATTAAGGATTAAGTTATGTTTTCCTTGCAAGACACTATTGTTATATAATTATGTTTTAATCGCTAGATAATCCAGCGTAAATTTGCGTCCAGGTTCCTACAACGTTTCACCATTCTTGACAGATCTCCTATCGAAACGTAGGATTATTAATAAAAAAAAGTGATGGAAACACACACACACACATATATATAAATCTACATACACTATTTACATTATTTGGACTCTTGTCTCCATCTTTGTCGTCATATTTATTACAACGTTTCGGCGCTTCAGTATCTGTCTATATTTCTGAGATGAGGTATTTACATTTTTTCAGGTGATTAGAATATCGAACTGAACCCTTTATTTCGCTCGCTGGGGTAGACTATTCTAGTTACACGTGCTATGTCTAATGGATGTCAGTTATTAGTTACCTCCTGTTAATTCCCCTCTCCAAGTCCTCCACTACCTTAACCGGGTATTGAACTCACACTCTTTCGGTTCTGTCACTAGATCTAACTGGAAATAGAACAGTCTATCACAGTGAGCGAAGAAAAGGGTTCAGTTCGACATTCCAACCACCTGAAGAAGGCCGGAGCGTACAACGGCCGAAACGTGGTAATAAATATGGCGATAAAGATGAGGACAATAGTCCGAATAATGAAAATAGTGTACATAATACCTCATCTCAAAAATATAGACAATATATATATATATATATATATATATATATATATATATATATATATATATATATAACAATATTTCAACAAGAAGAATATATATATATATATATATAAATCATCTTTAACTTTAAAATTCCCAAAGTCTCTTGTTCGTATGTCTGTCTAGTCTTATCAAATTCGTCCTAAAAGACAAAACGCCTCATACGAAAAAAATCTTTGTCATTCTTCTTTCCCCTAAAATTAAAAATTGTTCTTGATAATATATATATATATATATATATATATATATATATATATATATATATATATATATATATATATATCATCCCATATCTGTGTGATATAAACGAATATATAATATTGCGACTACATGAAATGAATTACATGGGGTTTTTATATAGAATTGAATTGTAAGACATTTTAATATAGAAATGAATTGTAAGATATTTTAATATAGAAATGAATTACAAGAGTTTTTTTTTAATTAGGAAATGAATTGTAACAGGTTTTAATATAAAAATGGATTGTAAGAGATTTTTAATATAGAAATGACTTAAAGCGATTTTAATATAGAAATGTATTTTAAGAGATTTTAATATAAAAAAATGAATTACAAGGGATTTTAATATAGAAATGCATTACAAGAAATTTTAATATAGCAATGGATTGTAAGAGATTTTAGTATAGAAATGAATTGTAAGAGGTTTAATATAGAAATGAATTACAAGGGATCTTTTATTAGAAAATGAATTGTAAGAGATTTTAATATAGAAATTCATTATAAGTGATTTTCATATAGAAATAGATTACAAGAGGTTTTAATATAGAAATAGATTACAAGAGATTTTATGATAGAAATGAATTTTAAAAGATTTAATATAGAAATGAATTGTAAGAGATTTAATATAGAAATTTATTGTAAGAGGTTTTAATATAGAAATAGATTACAAGAGATTTTATGATAGAAATGAATTTTAAAAGATTTAATATAGAAATGAATTGTAAAAGATTTAATATAGAAATTTATTGTAAGAGGTTTTAATATAAAAATGAATTGTAATAGATCCTAATATAGAAATAATTTTTAAGAGATTTAATATAGAAATTAATTACAAGAGATTTTAGAATTTAGAAATAAATTGTAAATTGAATTATAATAGAAATACATTATAAATGAGAAATAAGTAAATTGTCAGTGCTTCGGAAATTACGTTAAGCTTTACCGACAGACAGACGTAGGTTTATATGTACGGGATGATGCTAAGCAGCTACAAATATGATGCCATCTGCTGTTCAAATTTGATCAAGTCCTCATGTGATTCGAGCGAGGCCTTACTGCTAATCAGACAGATATTGCTATTCCCTGCACTCCAAACCTAGCGTCATTCTACGTATTTTTAGATAAAAAGAAAATTAGTTATAAAGATTTTTTCAAATATATAAACATTGGAAGAACAGTGTAAGTCAAACGAGTGAAATAAGATGTTGAATCTACAAGGAATATGGCCTTGTATCCAGCGGAGGACCTACACTTTTGGGGCCCTGAAACTTGAACAGATATGCTTGGATGGGAGGGGTTCCTTTCGCAACCAGAAACAATAGATTCGAGGATTCAACTACCAAATTGTAGTTCCATGAATAGATTCTGGTGAGATCAATAAGCTTTCGGGCGCTGCAAGCCCCCCATAAAAAAATATGAAATTAGACCAGTTACCAGGGAATTTTGAGACCATATGAAATGGCTATTAGAACATATTCAAAAGCTGACATTAGCTACTTCAACTTTCTGATTCTATCACTAAAATGGCTCTTTAATTTAATAGCAAACGCTTAAAAAATCATTGATTTTCTGGAAAAATTCATTAATTAAAAAAAGTTGTTTTAGGGGCCTCTCTGTGATTAGGGGCACTGAAGTTTAAGCTTCATTCGTTTTATAGTAGATCTACCATTGCTTTTATTTATTGTAGCCCAGAAAATAGTTATCAAGTTTTAAAAAAAAAAATATGATAATTTTATCAGTGCTGAAAGTATAATCCGTAATCCAAGATCAAGTTCTAGCCTTGTTGATTTAATTTTCGCACTAATACCCTTGGGAAAAGCTTGAATCAATCTCTTCTCTCTTCACCCCCCCAGATATGGGTAAAATATCAGGGTCGACTATCCTCGGGTAATAGTCAGTCTAAGAAAAGGAATACTATGAAGCTAAATTCATAGAGGAAGCAATAGAAAGTAACTATAAAATGTTTGTTATTATTTGCTGTTGTTTTTAGTGCAATTATTTCCCCTAAAGGTTATGTCCTTGCTGGGCGTAGATTTCTCATCTCTATTCTCTGTGAATGGCCTACAATTCTCAGGTGGTTTTCCGTTGCCTTTTTTTTTTTAGTCCTCCTTTTTTTCGAATATATAATTTCTTTTCTTCTTGTTCAGTGATGTTTTTTTAATAGGTCTGTTTTACTGCATTTATTAAATTTTGTAAACCTATAAAAATATTTTATGTCAGGTCACACTACAATTGGTACAATGTAACCCAATATTACCTAAAAATTTTTCACAAGAGTTGTCGAAAGGTTGATAGGTCTTCTTGAAAGGGTCAGAATTCATCTAACACAATGGGGTAGAGAATTGGTTGCATAGTTATGTCTACAGCCAGTGCAATGATGATAAGGAATCGCCGAGTGGAGGGCTTCATAGGTTGAAGCCAATGGATAGAGCGAATAGTTTCAACGATGTAATCAACGGCCACAGGTCTATGACCAAGACGAGCTATCAAATTGGAGGTCATTGGCTGTGGTTTGACCTGAAGAGGGATGGGTAACTCCAGGTCTACTTGCCCAAGATACACTACTCATGAATTAATAATCTGCAGCTTTCTACCCAGATATGAGGTCTGGTGTCAGCTGCTCATCGACACTACCACCAGTCCTGGTCATGGGACAGAAGATGGTGTTATTGTGTAAAATAATTTGAAAAAAAAAATATGCAGAAACTTATAAGAATGAGGTCTTCTACCAAACCTGGTTTATTCAAACAAATTCATACCTATTACATCGTCGTCATGCCTATGGGTGAATAATCCGAAATCAAAGAGATCCATAGCGCCGTACAGTGTCCAAGAGTTCTGTTTGTTCGAACCATTGCAATAAGTCCGAGAATTCCATTATTTTTAGTTGGGGTCAGTTACTTTCTTCTAGGCGACATGCGAGGTGAATTTTCATTTTGAAGTTACCTTCGTCTAAACTTTGTCTAAATTAGGCACGACCTACAAAGCAGCAAGTGGTTTGAATTCAGGGTTTTCTTTTAGACTAGTTGCCAACTAA